AGTGGCAGGCCGTATGGGGCAACATCGGACAATGTGCATTGCACAAATGCCCACCGGGTCAAGTATAGGAAGACACGCGGACACATATCCATGCTTTCGGACAGATGGCACGACGCAGTGGCCAGAAGCTTACAACGTGGCACCCGCCCCAACATGGGCTGTGACACAGTTCTCCTTTGAGCCGAAAGTCGAGTACCACATCGAGCAAAAGGGGCTTCAGACGGAAGCAGCAAAACTGAAAAAAAAAAAAAAAGGCAAAAAAAAAAAAGAAGCAAGCAACTCATCGACCCCTATACAAGGGCGACACTCTCTTCAGACGTGGATGACCGTCGTTCAAACATTTGAGGAGGGGTGGGGAGCCAGAAGGTGGGGGAAACGTTTGGAACAAAGGGCCGAATCTCAACAGATCGTGACGACAAGGCCACTCTACTGCTTACAACACCCCGTTCCCTATCTAAGTCGTCTGCAAAGGGTTTGACTCCCCGAGCGAAAGAAATTGCGATGAAGAGACCCCCAGGGCGTCGGTGCTCCGCCGCAGGAGGGACAACTCCGAACGTATGCTTTCGGGGCCAGACGGGCTGGCCCTATCGACAGGCTTGTGTCATCCGAGGAGGCATATGCCGCCGCTGCAAGCACAGATTCTGACTTAGAGGCGTTCAGTCATAATCCCACGCACGGTAGCTTTGCACCGCTGGCTTTTCAGCCAAGCACAATTGCCAATTGTGCGAACCAACGGTTCCTCTCGTACTGGGTTGGATTACCATTGCGACGGCGGTACATCAGTAGGGTAAAACTAACCTGTCTCACGACGGTCTAAACCCARCTCACGTTCCCTGTTRGTGGGTGAACAATGCAACACTTGGTGAATTCTGCTTCACAATGATCGGAAGAGCCGACATCGAAGGATCAAAAAGCAACGTCGCTATGAACGCTTGGCTGCCACAAGCCAGTTATCCCTGTGGTAACTTTTCTGACACCTCTAGCTTCAAGTCCTGAAATGCTAAAGGATCGATAGGCCATGCTCTCACAATTTATTTATTTTTTGTTTTTGTTTTTTTTTACAAAAAAACACATCCGGGGTGGTGTCACACAGTGCAGCATTTGCCTCACTGGGTGGTACCGAAACCCCGTTGGCTCCATTCTATTGGTGGGGAGCAGCACCTGCTGAGAATCGGGCTCAGCGTCCCAGAGTACGGATAGGAAAAGCAGAGAAAGTGGAAGGGGGTATCGATGCTACCCTACGGCAGCAGCGCAAGCGTCAGGGATTGATGAGGGGCGCATTTCAGGTTGTTCCCGTGGTGGGGGGCCCTTCTGTCGGGAGGCGCCAGCACCCAGTCACAGAAGGGGCCGCCGGAACTTCGACAACTTGCGACGCCCGTCTCCAATCCCCTCGCTCCCCCCGAAGATGAAAGTTATATCGAACTGCATCCATACTGCACAACTTCCCGTCTAAGTGACTCTAGTTCCGATCTCTCTCTTTATGTCACATTTGCCAACCCAGCAGTTTGTCAGTACTACTGATCATCTCACGTAGTGCTTAGTGTATTTCTTGCACTATTAGGCTTTGCCTGCCATATTTGTTTAGCCCTTGTCTCTGCTATCCTAACTAACTTATTCCAACTACTTCTATTTCCATCCGCAGTATGTGTCCACTTCTGAACTGGTTCTATTCCCGCCTATTCCTTTACATCTCAAGCCTTAGTTGTAAAGTTCCTATCCGACTTATTCCAGCTACGCAACTAGTTCTGTTTTCGCCAGACTCCTGGTTGGTCATCTAAGGTCACAAGCTTCGTATATGGTTCCCATACTTGTCTCATGAATGGCCAGGCCTTCGCAGATTTCCTTTTGATATCTGCCGTGATTGCTGATCTGAGGTTCGCCAGAGTCAGTGATCGCAACGCCGCAAAAGAAGGCGTCTTCTGGTCGAAGATCAGCGCCGCCCGCAACGTCCATACGGCTCCGGGCAAAGCCGCTCTTATGACTTTGATCGTGTATGCCGTGGGTGGTTTGATTGAGGTGGCACACAGGTCCGGGCCCATAAGCAGGGAGGTCTCCCATTCTTGCAAAGTCATGGCAAGACTATCTCCCCCGATCTCTTGTCTCCACCACTCCCAGAAGCCCTGTTGGGGTGGGCAGTGCAGCCAGACGTGCGGGACGTCTTCCGGGTCGTTGTCGCAATGTGGGCATGTCGTTTCCGAAGTTGTTGTCCTCTTTGCCAACCATTGTCGGGTGGGAAGTGCCAAGTGGATGTTAAGCCACAGCAGTCCCGCCAGTTTTTGATCCGGCAGCTCCCGAAGCCGATGGTTCATCGCTTTCCACGCTCGAGGTGTCCATCCCCTGTTCAGGTCGCCAGTCAGCCATGTCTGTTTGCTCCACCGGTATTTGAGCTCCTGGCCAATGGGGACTGGAGTCAACAAGGAGCGATAGATTTGTTTAGTGCTCACCACGTGTATCGGGAGTGGCCGGCGTTGCAATCCTTGAGGCTTCCAGATCCAGCTCGAAGGGTTGAATGGAGGTTGTGAAGGGCGGAGGTTCGGCTGATATAATCTGTATACTGGCGAGGAGCCCCGCCTTTTCTCCGTCATTACCGTGACCGGTCTGGCAAGGTCTGGTGGCAGCCATCCGTCTCTGTTCTCGGCTTTCCTCAGAGGTTGGCCTATCCGGTCCTCCGTGGGGGAGTTCTCCCACGTCTCTACCTTGAGCCACGCGTTATCGGCTTGTCCACAGACTCTGAAGACGGTCTGAGTCCGGCTGTCGTCTGCTTTTATCACCCATTCTCCTGGAAACCTTTTTCCTGTCTTCAATGCATCGATCCACTCTCAAGGGATGGCCTGTCGGATCGCCTGAAGGAGTTCGCGCTTCCTGGTCTGGTTTTCTAGCCTCGCAAGGATAAAATCCTCGCTTATCCAATTTCTGGCCTCTGTGTCCCACAGGTCCGCGATCCTAGCCACTCCCGCCCGAAGCCACGGTCTTCCGAACGCTCCTTTAGGACCGACCCAGGGAAAGGGGTTCCCTTGATGGTTCGTATACTCGGGTTGGCAAAAAGGGGCTGTTGTAGGATCTCGTCTATCGATGTCGGCGGCTGGAGCTCTAGCGGGGCAAGGGTCCGCCATCTTGTCAAGGTCGGGGTCCAAATAGCATTCCGCTTGAGGTTTGTCAGAAGTTGTGGCTGCAATAAGGCTGTCTCCACATCCGCAGGGTGGAGTCGGAGAGCGTCCGCCATCGTCTGGAGAGTCAGAATCTTCCACGGGGCGTTGTCGTCTTCGAGCAGCAGCCAGAGGATGGTCCTCAGATGTAGAGCCCCAATTTGCGTGGCCGGGTCGATGATACCCAGGCCTCCATCTCCGCGAGGCTGGATAAGCTTCTGCCACGAGACTCTATGAACTGCATGGGCCGCGAACGGATCATTGCGCCAGACAAACCGACATATTGCGATCCTATAGTCCCGACAGGGGACCGGGCCCGGGGAGGATACTGCGCCCACGTACCATAATGTCGATGATGCAGCGGAGTTTGTTAACAGCGCTCTCCCGAGGACGCCCGTGGACAAAGTTTTGCCACAGACAGCAAGTCGCGCTGCTGCTTTGTTCATCAAGGTTTCAATTTGAGTTCCTTCCGTCAGTGCGTCAGGCATGGTTATACCCAAGTATGTAGAGCTTTCAGCGATGGGTTGCACCTTCATGCCATTAAACAGCGGGGCAGCCGCCATATTCGGAAGCAACGCAACAGACTTATGCCAGTTGACTCTTGCACCCGCGTACTTCTCAAAGGTAGCAATTTGAGTCTTCAGCGCTTGGACACTTGTTTGTTCAAGGATGGTAATGGCACCAGTGTTGTCAGCGAACGCTGAGCTCTTCAGTTGTTCGCCTTGGGGAAGCGCCAGCGCTTGATCCGCTCTCATCATGTCGTGAAGATGCTCAATATAAAGGATGTAGAGAGTTGGAGAGAGAGGGCATCCCTTGCGCACTAATCTCGTCACCTTGATTGGGCTCGTAAGGAAGCTGTTGACCAGCAGCCGTGATTGTGCGCTAGTCAAAAGGGAGCGGACAGCAGCCAGGAAGTGCGGTCCCACTCCCCGTTGCCTCATGCCCTCCAATAGGAAAGGCCAGGAGACCCTGTTGTAGGCCTTCTCGAAGTCTAAGAGGACAAGAGCCACTTGCGGGCTTTGTTGCGATGCATGCCACATCTTCGGCAGGAGTACAGCTAGTCGGTTGGCTTAGATCTTCGCGAGGAGCTTGTATGGGGCTGACAAAAGCGAAATAGGCCTCTAGTTCCGAATGCCCGCAGCCGAGCCCTTCTTGAATACTAAGATGACAGTGGCCAGTGCGAAGTCTTGCGCTAGCTGGTGGGCATTGTCCCAGATCGAGTTGAACGCTTCGACCAAGTGCGGGGCCAGCATATTCTTACATGCCTTGATGTGTTCGAGGGGCATCCCATCCGGCCCAGGGGCTTTGCCGCCTGGCATGTCTGCCAGCGCTTCGAAGATTTCATCTTGGGTAATAGGTTGTTCCAGTATTTGTGACTGCTCCTGGTCCAGCTGTGCAGTTATTTTTGCCCACACATCTCTTTCCAAGGCCTCCGCTCTGTCCTCCTGCGAGTCTTCTTGTTCTTGAGTCAACAGGTACGAGTAGTACTTGTGAGCGTACTCCAGGATCGCCGGGTTTGTGTCCGCTGGCGGCTGCTGGTCATCAAATGCCGGGTCTAACACGAGCATAACTGAAGCCGGTCGCCTCGGGCGGAGTCGTTTGAAGAAAGTCTTAGTCATGCGTTCAGCCGCTATCATCCATCGAGCCTTGTTTCGAAGTCCCGGTACTTCCGCGTCTTGGATCTGCCAATCGTCCCACTCTGCCTTTAGGGCTGCCCACTCCATCCACCATTCTTCCTCTTCTTCCTCCGACCCTGGACCGTCCCCCAAGTCATTCGCGCGTTGAATAAAAACTTCAACAGTTGCTCTTCGTGCACGCTTTGAAGATAGCACCTCAGTTTTTAGCAGTCTGGCCAAGGCGGCGGTGCGGTCCGTAAGCCACTGTAGTGCTGTCTGCTGTGAGTGTCTGAGGGTAGTCCAGTATTGCCAGTGCTGTAAGGCCATATTTTGATAATGCTTATCTGAGAACAGCCAGGCCGGCACAGTGGAGGGTGGGGGCGAGTTTGCAATCTAGAGGGCAGCGCCAAGGTAATAGCAATTAATTTGTGGTCCGAGGCTACGGGGATGATGCTAAAGCCAGTGAGGCAGCAAAGTAAGGTTTGCGACATCCAGGCCATGTCTAGTCTGCTACGATTCCTTAGCGTGGGCGCCACCCATGTGACACCTTTGTCAGTGGGCCACAGTACCCGATATGCATCCTGCAAGCCCATTTCTGCAAGTGCCGCTCGCATGGTTCTGGCATCCGGAGTATATGGCGGTCGGGGGCTGGGGGGGGGGGGTCAACAGTGGTGTTAAAGTCTCCAATAAGTACAAATTTGTCAACCTCTGGCAGGTTGACCGCTAGTCCTTGCCAGAATAGGGATTTCTCCAATAGTTGTGTAGGGCCGTATATAGTGGCTACGAGGACCCTTTCAAGTTTTGTGGCTAACTCCAGATATGCCCATGCCCACCTACCCTGGGTATGCGCAAAGAAGTCAAGGATCCGTCCCTTAAAGTACTTTGTACCCAAAACGGTCACTCCCCCTGATGTACCTATCGCCGTGGCCCAGACCTGGAAGGTTGCCTGAATTGGGGGGGAAACCCCGTCTGTTAGCCTTTTCTCTGCTAATTTCGTCTCTTGGAGACATGATTTGTACTCATTCTCTTTCTATCAAGCGTTTTATCTCCTTCCATTTAGCCCGAAAGGAGAGAGGGCCCAGGACCCTGACGTTAAGCGAGGCTACTTTAAGTTGTAGGGAGGGCTCCATTCATCTGCAGGCTTCCTACCCGTTTCAGTTAAATGCAATCGATCAATACTCAAGTGTGGTCATTTATTTCCGGCAAGTCCTCTTCTGTTAGCAAGCACCTTTGATATCACATTCCCCACAATCCCCAAATCACACAATCCCCAGTTCGCCCAAATGAGATCTCCTTCGATCCCTTCCAAACCCCTCGCCTTTATCCAAAGATTTTATATTTCCTCCTGCTTCCTTGCAACCCCTTTCGCTGCATCCATTTCAATCAACTTTAGCCCTTCATTTTAGATGAGATCCTCTACTACTAGCTTGTATCCGCAGACGTGAGTTCACTGCAAGCACCATATCTCATTCCCAAGTGTGACCGAAGTCATCTTTTGCTGGTTTCGTCCCACAAGCCTATATTCAATGTAAAACACATTTCATCCATTCGACCACAAGTGTGGTCCTTCCTTCCCGTCGAGTCAGTCTTCATTTACTACTTTCCCCAGTTCAGCCATCTGCTCATATAGTCTAACTAAAGAAGGAGCCATTTTCATGGTGACTGTTCCTGCTGTAATAAAAAGATCAGCTTGTCTAGAAGTACATCTAGGTACTAATCCATAACGGTCAAAATCAAATCTCGAACCAATTAAAGATGCAAACTCAATAAAACTTGCCATAAGACGCATATTCATTTTTTTGTTGAAGAAAAATATGACTCTAGGGTTGACACGTGAACAAGTCATGGCTATACTGAGCTCGAGTCCGATAACAAAAAGACTAATTGATAGATTCTGCTTAATTAATGAATTAGATTTATATGTAGAATATTTTTTTACATAATATGATATATCYTTCTCTTTTACTACTACAAGAAATTTGACTATCCTCATGTAATAATAGATTGATACAATACTTGTAAATATACCTGTTAGAACTAAAAAGTCAAAACCAGATTGCCATGCAGACCAAAATAGAAAACTTTTGCCAAAAAAACCTGTTAACGGCGGAATACCTGCTAATGAAAGCAGGCAAAGTGAGAGACAACTAGCAAGCCAAGGATTTAGCCCTTCATTTTAGATGAGATCCTCTACTACTAGCTTGTATCCGCAGACGTGAGTTCACTGCAAGCACCATATCTCATTCCTAAGTGTGACCGAAGTCATCTTTTGCTGGTTTTGTCCCACAAGCCTATATTCAATGTAAAACACATTTCATCCATTCGACCGCAAGTGTGGTCCTTCCTTCCTGTCGAGTCAATCTTCAGTTACTACTTTCCCCAGTTCACCTAGCGAGAACCCTTCGATTCCCAACAGTTACTTGCAGACGAAGTCCCATGGCCTATTCTCTACAGTTTCTCATTCTTTATTTCAGTCAATCTGGCATCCTATTTTCTTACTAGTTGATGTTTGCAGCTACTACCCACACAAACGTTCTGTTAGCAGAGCACTTGTCACAGGTTTTATTTCTACCTTCCGACCCTGTATATTCTTGCTTTCTGCAGGCGATACTATTAAGCCTTCCAGTCCCTCAGGGGCAATGCTATATTACCCAATATCTAATTTTCTTGTATTTACAGGGCCCCACGTATCTCACCTCATTATCTCCTATCAATCTCTGCAATTTCTGAATTATATTTACATACGTAGGAGTCTGCTTTTTGACTATTATACAGACAAGTTGCTACCCTTGTCTCTACTGTTCTAGCTTTTCTGTCAACCTCGCATCAGCTACTACCCACCTTTACATCTATGGGTGCTAACCGTTCTGTTAACAACTCAGATGCCACGGGTTTTATTTCTAACCTCCCGACACTGTGTGTTCTATTAAGCCTTCCAGCCCATCAGGGGCAATGCCATATTACCCCCTAGGCCCCACATATCTCACCTCCTTATCTCCTATCAATCTCTGCAATTTCTACACTATGTTTACATACATAGGGAATTTGAACACTATTACCCTTGTGTCCACTATTCTACCTATATCGCTTTAGTTACTTACCAGAGACTTTTATTCCGAGTTCTTTGTGGTCTTACGATGCAGTCGATGAGCCGAAACGCCTCCATGGTGCAGGATGGCCGAGATGCGGCCCGTTTGTCTTCCTCCCTGCCGAGGGCCTCGCAGCCACGTTTCCGGATCTGTGACAAACGTCCGATGAGTGAACCTTTTGTTCTCCGGTAATCTTTTGTTTGGCAGTGCCATAATCGCTATGGTGTCGTCCTGCATTGTGGAGTTCTCCTCCGGATCCGGAAGCTCAAGGATTCGTGGTTCCAGGTCCATCCAGCTGAAGTGAGGGTCTACTCTTGATTTACCTGCGCCCGGGGCTCCGCCCTGAGCATGAAGCAGTATGCTCCCAGGCTTTCCCCGGAATCCGATTTCAAATGCGGGCAAATCGTCGAGACTCCTTTCATTGGGAGCACTTCATAGGTCCCACCCAACCATCTCTCCGCTGTCACTATCGCTTTCTGCATCGAGGGGTGCCCTACAAACTTAATGAATGGAATCTTCGGCGGGCTGTCCGTCACTTGTCCTTGGCTAAGCAGAATTTGCAGTCTTATCTCTGTTAAGCGAAGGACCATGGGGACGACTCGCAGACGTCCCTGATCTCGAAGTTCATCGAATTTCCCGTCCAACAACAGCATTCTATGTACATGGATGTCATCAAAGGCTCTTTTCTCCTCTTCTCGTTGGATCGGGCCCGAATTCTCTTGCTCTTCCTCCAGCCTCTGGTACTCCATTATTTCCATGTCGTCCACCTGGATTTGATCCGCCGCATTTAATTCGCCCAGAGGTCTTGGAGGGGGCGGGGTCGGAGGAAGAGAGAGAGAAGCCGAGCTACTTAAGACTAAAGGGTTTGCCCACGCTGTGCCTGGTTCCGGCTCCCCCTCGCCCGGTGGAGTAGGTAAGAGGGGCTTGTCCATTATCGCTTTGGGACACTTGGCCGCCTCGGCTTCCGAAGCACTTGTTTCCTTACCAGTTTCAGCGTCCGATGCTGCTCGCACCTTCTTCCGGAGTCTACCTCGCTTCTTTCCAATCAACCCACGTTGTGGTTCTTCCATACTCACATCCCAGATCTCTTCCATCTCCCGCTTAGCGTCCTGCGTGATTCTGTCCTGGCTTCGCAGGTCGAAGGGATGGTTAAATAGGAGTTTCGCCGAGCGCAGGTCTTCCAGTCCCAATCCTATGAGGGTTGCTGCTTGCGGGCTCTCCTCAGCTACCTTGCCCCAGAGTTTATGAATCTGTCCTGCTGGAGTAGCTCCTTGGCTCCGGAGTGCTTCAAGGTCGTCGCCACCCTCCATGCCCTTATGCTTTTGTTGACTCTGCTCAGAAGTTCCTTGTGCAGATTCCCACACTTCCCGTATCCAGCCTCCTGCCGTCCGATGTACCCTTTGATTTGGTGTGTCCTTTCCATTCGAGAGGTGCGGCAGGGCGGCCGGCTCCTCCGTTGCATGCGCTCCTGACCTGTCACTGCTCGCTTCCTTCATTTCTTTGTCCCTCTCCGGGCATCGCTATCGCCTTGCTGGCCTCTCGCTATTCTCACTTTGTTCCTCGTTATGTACCTCCTTCTGTTGCTGCGGCTGTCCGGGCTGATTGCTTCCACCAGATTCCCTTCTCCAGTCGAGCGTGCTCGCTTCTTTCATTTCCTCGTCACTTTCCAGCAGCGTTGTCGAGCGGGGAACCCCGGGGGCAAAGCCGGTGTTAGGCTGCGGACCCCGGACCCCCGCCGCGGGGTTCATCCAACCCCGCCACCGCCGGRCGACCCCCGCCGCCGCCCAGCCCCGGGTACCCCGCCGCCTAACCCCGCAGGCCCGCCACCGGCCCCGCAACCCCGCCCCCGCATCGCCCCTGCACCGCAACCCCGCCACCGCAACCCCGCCCGGGGAGAACCCCGACCCCGCAACCCCGCCACTCCAACCCCGCCACTCCGCCCCCGCACCCGCAGTGCCTACCCCGCCAGCAACCCCGCACCCCCGCGCCCCGACCACCGACCCCCGCTGGGCGAACCCCGACCCCCGGTCCCCGCCACCGCCACCGACCCTGCAGCCCGTCCCCCAGCGTTTGGGAGGGAACCCAGCCGCCCCGCTGGCCAACCACCGACCGGATCACCGGTGCCCGCCCCCGCA